GTCTTGTAACCGATCCAGCTCTTCCTCTTACTTTTCCACCAGAGAAGCATACCACCGCTACAGCACCAACAACTCAAACATCATCAATGGCAACGACCCAGATCTCGAAACTGGGTTGTCTCTTTTCCTCTTCTGCAGAATCTTTTACTTGTGCCAAAGCAGAAACTAGAGAAAGAAATGGAGTGGGAAGGAAAGAGGAGGTTGTGTGTGTGTTTCTTTCCCTTTCTCTCTTTTTTAGGTTTCTTTTTTCTCTTTTTTTTATTATCATAGTGCTTTTTTTTATTTTTCTCTTTTCTCTTTTTTTATTTTTAATTTTCCAAATTTTTAATTTCTTTTGTGTGCATTTGTGCTTAACTAACATTTCCTACTCTTTTTTATTAATTTTTTTATCCTTTTATTCTACCTTTTTTCTCTTTTGTTTTTTTTATTAATGATTTGAATTTTAGTTTTTGTTTTTTTTTTTTTTTTTTGGGGGGGGGGTTGGTTGTTTTAGATTTTTTTATTTTATTTTTATTTTCTTTGATTTTCTTTTAGGTGTAATTGTGCCTAGCCTTCCTATCCCTCTTATTTCAAAATTTTTTTCTTCTCTTTTTTTTTTATTTCTTTCTAGTTTTTTATTTATGTTTTTTTAATTTATGTATAATTTATCCTATTGTTCTATTTTTATTTCATTTTTATTGGACTCTTGACAATTTTATCTATTTTTTGTTTCATTTTTGTATTGTTTTTTATATTTTTATGTGGGCCCCACAAGGGGTAAGCAAGCAAACAAAGCGGAAGTAGCTATTATCCTGAATAACTAGTTTGACATGTGGACAGTGATGCATGAGGGGAGGGCTTGACACCTACACTCAGTGGTTCCAACAAGGTTGTCAGCCTTCAAACCTCCACCCATCGGACAAATGGGCTTCTCAGGTCGGTGATTGGTTTGTGAGTTATCGGTGCGGTCCAAATGGCCTAGCACCTACTACCCCCCTGCTAATAGGAAATGGGATGCTAAAATCTAATGCAAATGGTGTGTGAAGAGTGTGGACAAACAAACAAGAAATCACAAAAATAAAACAATAAGCAAATATCTACTAATCATCAAGAAACAAGCAATTATTATTCTAATAAAAGAAAAAAAATATAGAAGCATCTGTATATACAAGAAAAAGCAATTAAGCCAAATGGGCACCATGTGGGCCCCACCTATGGTCCAAGAACTCCCTAGTGGAGTCTCCAGTCTATGAACATCAGAAAAACCGGCTCACTTGCCACTTGGGTTGGAAACGGAGTTGCCACCCATCAGTTATGGAAATGGAGGTGATGGGACCTCCAAGAATGGCATCAAAAATATTTTAGTTCGATAGTGACTCCAAGATCCAAGGCACTGGCTAAACCAGTCCAGGTAAGACTCGGATGGGAGAGGGAAGGGGTTAAGCACCCCTCTCCCGGGTCCAATAGGTTGGGCCCACATGGTATATCCAACAAACAAGCATAAACCACCATGATAATAAGAACCAAGCACCAAAGCAAGCCAATACAAAAGGGAAATTGTTGTATCAGTTCTCGTTATTTTCCATTTATATATTTTTTATTTTTTATTATTTGTTTCATTTTTTTATTTATTTTTATTAATTATTTATTTATTTATCTTTTATTTTTCTTATAAAAAACTATTTGTAAATTTTTTTGGAATCACTTTTACTATTATTTTATTTATTTTTCATCTTTTGTGTTTTTTTTAATATTTCTGGTCTATCAAATTAAGCATCCTGTACCAGTGACCCAAACTCGCCATTATAGATTTCCAACCTCCTATTTTGTTCTTTTTTTTATACCATATCTATTTTGCTTGTTGTAACCAAAGAGTTACTATTAATAGTCCTCCTCCGACCTCAGCATCATTGATGTCGAATAATAAAAAACAACTTGGTAGCTTTCACTTTAAGAGGAAAAACCCAACCACCCATTCGGTTAAATAAGACAGGAAAGAGATTAACGCATTCAATTCTAAACTCCTTAATTTTTCCACTCCAGCATAGTCAATTGTCAGAAGTAAACCAACTGAGAACTCAACAAGCAGTAATCCTTCTTTAGAACATATCAATAACAGAACCTTTCAAATTATTAACAGACAATCCCCTTTCAAAACGGATCACTACAACGGTCAAATTTTTAAAATCGAACAATATAAAAATCTAATAACACAATGACGAAACGGGATTAACATTAAGGATTCAACAGAGGCTGGTTCTATGACTATTTCACCACCAACTCCGGTAACCTCCTCAGATTCCGATTAAGCCATCACACCATACAAGAAAATGAAATGAGATAACAAAGAAAATGAAACACAGAAGAGACGCTAAGAGAGCTTAATTACCAGCTTGAATTTCAGCCTGAAGTACGACTTGAACAGAGCACAATAATCCCAATGATGATAACTATGAACGAATGTAATCGGATCTTGATCTATGTTATATGTTGGCCTGAATTCAATGGACGACGCAGGGGAAAAACTCTATCCTGTTGTGGTCTATGGATAGTAGCTCAAGTGATGGCTGCATCAATGGGGCTTGCTGATGACGGATAATGTTTTCTCCTAATCGGAAAAGAGAGGAAGAGAAGGGAGAAAATCAAGGAGGAAAAGAAGAGGAAGAGGGAGTCTGGAGAGAGAGGTAGAGCGGGAGTGGGTTGGTTAGGCGCCGTTGCTCCCCCTCTGCCTTCGAACAAGGAGATGAATCCCGTTCGAAACAAGGGAATAGTAGATCCCTTGAGGAAGAAAGGCATGGTTAAATAGTAGGGCATAAGGGCAATTTCATAAATTTTGGGAACTTGGGGGTATTTTTGTAATTTTGGATGAATCGGGTCAAACCGGGTCTAGGTCAAACCGAGCATTCTGGTTCAGTTCAATGAAAAGGATTCTTTGGCCAAAAAATGGAGAGTCGAGATGTGTTTGACCGCAGAGTGGGGTTGTGCATGTGAGGGCCAATGAGATTAACCGAAATGAAATCTTTTTAGATGAAAAGGCAAATGGGGGTAGTTTTGAATGAAATTTCATGGGGCAGGGTTTTCAGATATTCTAGGTTGATTGGAAGGAAGGATCAGATTGGCCTGACTATGCCCGAATTGGGCAGATCTGGAAAGGGTTTAAATTAGTTAATCTAAGGCTTCAAAATGGAATCTATGTTCGATGAAAGGGTAAACGAAGGTAGTTTCAGATGAAATTTCACTAGCCAGGATTTTTGGGCAGTTTGAGGTGATTGGCAAGGTCAGATTGAGTCAACTGGACCCAAATCAGGCGGATTTGGAATCCAGCAAATCTGGAGCCTTGGAATTGAATCTTTATGCAATCGGAGGGCAAACGAAGGTATTCTGGGTTGAGATTTCACAAGTGGACATCTTAGGGCGTCTAGGATTTAATGATGTGGTTGGATTTGTCTTCGGAGGGTCGAGGTCATCGGATAGATGTTTTAAAGTGGAATCTTGGTTTGATTGAATGACAAATGAGGGAATCTAGGGCTGAAACTTTAGAGGAAGGTGTTTTAGGATGTTCCAGGTCTGATGGTTGTGTTTGATCTAATGGGTGAGGTGTAAGTAGGGGTTAATCGAGGTCATCGAATAGATATCAGGTAGGTTGAAGAATGGATCTAAGGGCTCTCGGGGCGAAATATGGGTTTTTCTAGGTTTTTGGGTGTTTCGAAGAGGTCAGAAGGGTCTGATCAAGTGTTTAGGGTGAATTGGAGGCTTAAGCGACGGACCAAGCAAAAATCGAGTGCTGACAGCAAGTCCATGACCATCTTAATGTTTTCTCCATATCCACCATATCTCTTAAAATTGCCTTACACTTAAGGGTGTCAATAGACTGGTTTTGGACGGGGCCAATCCAAAATCAACCTGCACAGATTGAACAAACCAACAAGACATATTGGATTGGACCAATCCGGTCCAAAATATTTAGGGTAAATTACAAAGACCCCATTGTACTATGGGGTCAATGACAAAGTCCCCCCTATACTTTTTTTTGCGACAAAGACCCCCCTGAACTTTAGTCGTTAGACAAAGACCCCCTTTCGTTAATATTCTATCAATTAATGTCCAAACTACCCTTTCTATATTCCTCATCTTGACAAAGAACCCCCTGCCTCTTGGTGGTTCATTTGAGTTCCACCATCTCATCGTATGTTTAAGAAAAAAAGAAAAAAAAAAAAACAAGAGACAAAGATGAGTTCAATTGTTGAGATGGGCTTTTGTTTTTAGTTGGAAATGAAGTGAGGATGTAGGCAGACATGAAAGAGATGGGTTGGTGGTGGTTCATTTTTACATCATGATATGTGAAATGAAACTTAAAAAGAAGGAAAACAATAGGTTAAATAGATTTTAAGCAAAAAAGCACAAAAAAAAAGAAAATAGAAAAAGCTTAGTGGGATATTTTGGTAATTTAACGCTTTCCATCATCTGATTTAATGGACAAGGGGGTCTTTGTCTAACAACTAATGTTCAGGGGGTCTGTCGAAAAAAAAGTACAGAGGGACTTTGTCACTAACCCCATAGTACAAGGGGGGTGTTTGTAATTTACCCAAATATTTATTAGATCCTGGACCGTCCATAACAAATTTATATTGAATTGGGTTGGATTACGCCAATATCTAGTCCATTGATATAAGAATGTGTGTCAATGGACTGAGTTTGGGTTGAAATCAATCTAAATCAAAATGAATTTAAACAGATGAGATGGTCCAGACATTGAATTGGCCCGGTCCAAATTGGTCCAAAACATTCATTGGATTGGACCAAATCCAGTCCAATTGACACCCCTGCTTAGTAATACCTGGGTAATGTGTATAAATTATGGCCGGACTTCGGTGGTGCACCAATCGTGTGTATAAAGTAATAATACTGAGCACCAAATCACATGGTACACGTGGGTCCCAGAATGTCATGTCAGGAAATAGTGTATAAATTATGGCTGGCGAAATGCGTGTTTGTGTGTTTTAAGGGCGAGCAAGCAAGAGGATAGAAAGAGAGAGTGTTTAACAATTTTACCATTTTCCAGATATTTTCAACACCCCCACACCAAGGTAACCAGCATTCGGAGTTCCAAATGGCACAAGAAAGCAATCTAAAACACAAATTCCTATAATTAGTCAAGCGGTTGGTATAACTTCTGATTCCCTAACAGACAAGTCTAGCACACTTTCTACTTCTGGTCAATCCCATCATGACGGAACTTATCGTAGGAAAAGGCTTCACCAATACCTCAAGCTGAGAAAACCAGCACATAAATGATTACCCAACTTTTAATACCTCTGAATCATCATGCGCAAATAACGAGACTTTGAGGATCCTTACCACGGATCAACTTCGGCGCCTTTTGAAGAATTCACCGAATGGAGTTTCGGGTACTGGTATGAGTTTTCCAAGAATAGCGAGGGGCCAGCTGGAAGAACACAGCAGAAACACAATTACACAAATGTCAAAGGAAGTCTGATGTGAGAAATGTTTTAATAAATAACAAAAAGTTTAAGTTTTTATTAATATGGAAACAATGGTGCCAATGTGATGAAAGCAGACCTGATAAACCCAATAGCAACAGAAACAAGCCAATACTTCCAATTAAGCCTTACTGTTGAGGTGAACTTCCCCAGAAACTCGATGATAATGATCTATAGGCAGGAAAACGAAAATTTATAACATGCATTAAAACAAAGAGATTGAAGACTCCAAGGAAAAACCTCACTCACCTGAAGTACTAGCGTGATTCCAACTATACCCATAAAGAGGTGGTTTCTGGTCACTCCACTGAAAACATTTATTTCATCTGGCTTCCGAGCATTGAACTCATTAAATATCTGCAGTTTTCATACTTGCAAGTTAAATAAATATTATATTATAGAAATAATCTCTCCCAATTTGACATCCTTCTCATTTTCTTATTTGGGTACAAGAACGCGGTTCATGAGAAGTGAAAAATATAAATGATAAAAGAAGTCTCGGCTTTTCACACCCCCTTTACACATTTCTAATTCCTTCGGGTGTCGTCCATGGGACTGACGCTTACCTGACAGAGGACAAATGCATTAAATATCAAGGTATTCTTCACTTTATCAGCATGAGCATTGGTGTCACTTTTCAAGTGTAGAATACTCCTTCCATGGAAGTTCAGAACAAGGAGGACAACAACTTGATATAAAGCCTGCAATTTCCCAATTGTTGCTTATAAATCATCAATTAGTTGTGAAAACTGAAAAGTCATGGTAAATTTCTTCTTTTTCTTTGTTCCATCTTATATGAATAGGATTGCACTTTCTCCTATCTAGTATTAACATCCCATTAAATCTTTTATTATATTTCTTTCAAAATACCCCATTTAACCAGGTGTAAATACATTTACTTTTTCAATATTTCTTTTTATTTATTTACTTGCAAGGCAAAGGGCTCGACAACAGGGTAGACCCATTTCCATTACTTTTCATGGTGAAAAAAAAATTTTATCCCTTTGACAGGAAAGATCGTTTTTTACTTGCAATTATAAGGGCCTCGACAACAGGGTAAACTCATTTCTACTGCTTCTTATGGTGAAAAAAAAAAAAAAATTGATCCCTTTGACATCAAAGATCGTTTTGATGACATTTAGCAATAAAAGTCAATGGGCAGATTTCAGTGTTTTAAACTACACTTTGTCCCCCCACTGTCCTTGTTTACATCTCCAACCAAATCAAAAAGCTTTGATATTTAATCATCAGAATATAATATATCAATTTAAATATTAAATATTTATTCGTAAGTATACTATTAATCTATTCAAAGCTAGGTTTCTGAGAACCTTCCAAGAAAATACAGACACATTTTTACTCAATCAGTAAATAAAAAAGTTTTTATTGATTGTGTCAGAATAAACAGTATATGGTTAAATTAGTACTTTGTTCTCTATATGGTGTACAATTTGCAGTTTTGAACACAAAGATGGCCACTCTGCTCCTCTACTACTAAGAGAACCCCATAATAAACCAAAACTCTCTGTTTACAAAGGATAATCTCCACAGGTTAGTGTCACATGAAAGTGTCCTAATAGACTGATGTATCCAATAGAAACTTGCACCAAAATCAACTGTCAATTGTCTTACTCCCGTGATCTGATGCCTTATTCTTCATGGTCCAGCCATTTAACCCTTCAGCCAAGATATATTAGTCTTAGAGTCCAGTTCTACAAATGATATTTAAAAACCAGAGAATATTGCCAACTTCAGTAATTGAACAGCTTGTAACTCTGATCATATTGAGTTGCAGGTAGCTAATTGGTCCAGAGGATGCCAACTGGATGGCCTATTGCAATCTCTGAATACACCAACCATACCTGATTCACTATGGCCATGTTTGGAACCAATGCCATTTCTTGGGAGGTGTTTTTTGAGAAAACAGTGCTGCCTTGGTATGCCATTTTCTCAGAAAGCATTTTTCTTTTTTTGTTTGGGATTGGTGTTGGTTGCTGCCACAAAGGCGTTTTTCAATGCCACATCAGAATACTGTTTCTAGCAACAGTAAAAAAATGACAAAACACCATAAAGGGAGTTTTCTCAGACCACACCTTTCCTGATTTCCAAGGTGTAGTCTAAGAAAACGTTTTTTCAGAAAAACATATAACCAAACAGCAGGCATAGTCTGAGAAAACAGATTTTAGACGTGGCACTGATGTGGCACCGTTTTTCAAGAAAACAGCATCGGTTCCAAACATGGCTAGGGTTCCCAGGATTAAATCCATCAATCACCTTAATTATAGTCCTTAAATATCAGCTTGTAGCCTGGCTTCCCATTGGCACTAAGAACGGCAATTCAATGCCCCTGTTGCAATCTGTTAGTACACACTACCTAGTTAACCAGGATTCCCAAGACTAAATCCATTAAATTTCACTTTAATTCTACTCCATGGAGGTAGGGGTGTAACTTGGGTGGGTGGATCGGAATGGAGACAAACCCAGGCTCAACACTAAAGGTGCAAAGTGAAGGCTCCGGCCTGGCCCAATGTGAGGTTAACCACAAGTTTATGAACCCAGGTGCAACCTGAGCCTAACCAAAAACAACTCAGGCTGGGTTTAGGCTCAGTTTGTGATAGGCTTAGTTGGGCATGAACAGGTTTAGTCAGGTTTGAGAAAAAAAAAATTGACGAATGCGGGTTTGAATATATGTTTGTATATCCATCTTTTATTTGGCTTTATTGCCCAATTTAGGAATAGAATTGATTGAAAATATGCAAAGATTTCATTTGTAAATGTACATAAATATTTTATACATCTGTAAATACATATATACATGTATGTATTTGTCCATAGAATGGCTGCACTTATGCTCATTAAAACAACTTTCCCCATTATTTCCCTAAGAACAATTATTTGTGAATTCGATTAATATATATGGTGAGGGAAAAGTTGTCAAAAGAAAATACCAAACCCCATAGAGCTTGCAAAAGCAGTTTTTGAAATCAAAGTTTGGTTTTATGGCTAGAGATGTAAACAGGGAATCTACGAGGACATGTATAAACTAATAACTAGTATACCACTATACCGTAGGGGCAGAATGAAAATTTCAACTTTTATCATTTATCCCTTTTCCCCAAAGATGTGACAATGATAAGCTACCAAAAATAAAGGATTAAGAATACCTGAACAATTAAGTTCCTCCACATGATATTCGTGATGAGAGGTTCACTGATAAAATCAGAAACAAAACATTAATGAGCATTTTTTTTTCACTTTTGACAATTACCATTAGTAAACAAACTAGATAGTTAAAAAAAACACATGATTGATAAAATAAGCCAAAAAACTATAACTATGACACAATGCATGTCATTCCAAACACCTTTCCTATATCTTGTTGTCCCCATCCTACTATGCCTTTCTAGCCTCCATTTCCTCTCAATCCATCCCAAAGTTTGTTTCAAAAGCCTTAGCCACACTAGATTGGAAGGATGCTATGAGTACTGAAATAGAAGCCCTTCATAAAAACAATACCCGGGATATTGTTGACTTGCCAACTGGGAAGGAACCTGTTGGGTGCAAGTGGGTTTTCACTATCAAGTATCGTGTAGATGGGTCAATTGAGAGGTATAAGGCTTGGCTTGTTGCCAAGGGATATACCCAGGTAAATAGGATAGATTACGCTAAGACCTTTTCTCCAGTTGCTAAGATGACTTCAGTGAGAGTTCTTTTATCCTTAGTCGTGAGCTATGATTGGCCTTTGTATCATTTTGATGTTAAGAAAGCATTTGTAAATGGTGATCTCACTAAAGAGGTATATATGTCCCTTCCTCCCGGTATACATGGAAAGGAAATGTAGGGTAAGGTGTGTAGATTGAAGAAATCACTTTATGAACTAAAACAATCGCTATGTGCTTGGTGTGACAAGTTTAAAATTAATCTTGTTCAGTTCGGCTATACTCAAACTCAATTAGATCATACTCTCTTTCTTAAGAAAAAAGGAACACTTGTGACATTTCTTATAGTTTATGTAGATGATGTTGTGGTTACTGGCAATGATACAGAAGAAGTTAGTGCTCTCAAGAAGTTTCTCAACTTTAAATTTGAAATTAAAGATTTAGGGGAGTTGCGATATTTTTTGGGCATTGAGGTTGCTAGGTCCAAGAAAAGTATCTTTATTTCTCAGCGGACGTGTTAGGAACTGCCTAACTCAGGGACTCTTTCGAGTGAGCCTGCTTCCAGAATGAGAGAG